TTGCTGCCATTCTTTATATTTGTGACGTTTGCTTAAATTAAGTGATAAAAACACTTAATTTAAGCATCAATTCTTTAAATTATTTTCTATTATTCGAGGTTTTCAGATAGGTCGAAGTGTAATTGTAAATATGTTGTTAATAAAAAATTATTCAGAATATTTTCAAACTAGTGAACATTGTACAAACGAAAAAAAATTCAAAGTACAAACCATGCACGAAGTGACTATGAATTATAACCTTTGCTTCAGTGACGTCAATATATTTATCCCATCCTTGATATTTTTTATAGATTTGCTTGATATATTTTTTCAGTACTTGAACTAATTATAAAAAGACTGTGTTATTTTTTATATTTTTAATAACTAACTTTTTTGTATGCTATATTACTTGAAAAATTTTTTTCGTCGATTTATCTTATATCAATCAAATAAAGGAACATGAATTTAAATGACTTCAGATCAAACAGACAAATTTCTGGTATTTATTATGTGTTGTATGAGCCGTATGGTAGCGCTTCCGTTAGGGTGGGCAAAAGAAACATATACACTATTCGTTTCCAAATATTTTTGGCCATGTCATATTCTAAGTATCTGTAAATCCTTATGCTCCATGTGACACGTTACTTTACTATTCGAAAAGTGAACTCCTATTTACGTGAATCAATCTTGAAAAGTCATTAACATGATTTAAACAAGCTTCCACAGAACATGACATTTATGTATGAAAAAAATGAAAGGAGAAGACAGATGAAGTATTTAGGAAGAAATCAGTCAGGAATTGTTACAAAATAATAATAATATTTAAATGATACGTAAAACAGCAAATAATAATTAACCTAAAAATTATTTATAAGTACTTTACATACATTTATGTATCGAGATTCTTAAAAAATAATAACTGTCTGCACACAATAAATACTTTTTTTTTACTTTATTGTAACGTCTTCAGACTTAGCGATGTACTATTGGAGTCTCAAATTTGCTCTATGTAAAACTGGAGAAGTCAGGAGTAAAGGTTAACTAAACAGAAAAGACAGTCAGAAGAAGATGGCATGGAGATGGGAAATTTAAAATCTGTTCTAATCTTAATTTATGAATAATAAAATATAAAAATTAGCAGACTTTTAAATTTAGTGCTAATAATTGTTCTCGCGCGTTATTTTGGTATGTAATATTATTTAAACGTTATAATAATTAGAAATATAAAAGTCATTTTTAATACAATGTAATAACAGATGGCGCCACTAAATGTGGCCTGGATAGTTAAGCAACTTTGATATTTTTATGTTGTTATCAGTTTTTTAAATATAAGCATTATATTTGTATTTAACTTTTTAATCTTACCGAACGATAGAATCAACAGCAAAACCTGCTGTGTGCTGATATCGTGTGTGCCAATGAGGATATGAATTTCAATGTGCGATCTTACAAGAAACGAAAGTTAAACTACCCAATTTCTGGGTAATATTTCATCCCTGGATTTATGAACAATGTTTCTAAAAGAATGTTTGGCAAAAATCTGAAAAAATTAGTTTGAAATTTGAAAAATGATTGGTTTTTGATTTATATGAAATTTATATGTAATGACAATAAATAGATTACATAAATATCTAGAATTAAATAGCCTAATGCACGCAAATAAAATTCTAATTTTATAAAATAATACGAAAATTTAGAAATGTTATTGTCTGTCATTCAATATAATGTAACTCAACTAAACTTGCATAGATTTTTTTTACTCATAAAATGAAATTATTGCACAAAGATTGAAGGTCTTATTTGTACAGTGGGAAACTAATGTGTTATTCTCATTTCTGTAATAATGCATAAGCAAAAACATTTGTTGAAAATACGAGTTAATTGCAGAGTATACTAAGAAAGAAAAATATTTAACGCTTGAGAAGTTCGTTTAATTTTTTACGTTTTGAATTTTTCATGATACTAATGATGTCGTTGATAATATACGTCGTATAATTTAAATATCTTTAATTATCTTAATACACGTGGCAATGAGTAGAATATTTTTCATGAATATTTTGTACTGAGTGTATTTATCAGGTAATTATTTTGTAAATATAATATTTATATTTTACAACCCTTCAATTATGATTTATAGTATCGAATGAAATATTTTTGCTACTGTTCACTTGAAGATGTATATATAAAAGCAGATTAAATTCATTTTTATAGCTTCTGTCTAAGTTTTCTAAGTTTTACCTCTATCTACACACAGACTTTTATAATTATGCTATATTGTATATACACATAAAATAAAACGTAAATTAAAAACATGTTACATGACAAATATTTATGTGCTAAATATTCTCAAAAGAAATCATCTTTAAAAATACTTATACACATACACCAAGCAAAATTCTAAAACCCACCCGCTTGTTTCCCTGTTGGCAGAGCTTGAAAATACGTCTACGTGATAATAGATGACAGCGCAGTAATAGTAGCATTAATTCATCGTTTTTGTTTGCTTGAAATACTTAGTAATTTTCTAAATTTTACTTTAATTTTTAAATATGAAGTAAATTTTGCATCTTTATTTATTTAGAAAGTACACCGAAGTAACCAGTGGATAACAAGCTAAAAAAATCCTATTAATTATATTTCGCAGTTTTCTCTTTCTGTTTTTTTTTTCTGTTTGTTGCATTTAGAGTGTGATCTCGGTTTAATTATTTTTTATTGTTTTTTATTGACTGTTTTAAGGCCAAATTATGTTATAGAAGTTATAACAGTCATAAATAACTGGAAACTAATAAAAGAACAGAAAAAAATTAATTACTCAAATTAGTAAAACAAAACAATAATATTAAAAGTAAAACATCTGAGATGTAAAAAATATTTCGCAAAGTGGAAATTATGGCACACGAAATTAAAGCAAATTTTCTTTTGTGTGCTTCTGTTTGATAAAGATAAGCTTGGTGCTTCGAAGCTATATTATAAGCGGTTACTTCCTCAGGCTATCCCACAATTTTATTACCAATATTCGGTAATTTTAATTACGATCCTTTCATAATTCCTTTTTCAGACCATTTTTTCAATTTTTTTCGAATTATTTACGATACGTACTTCTTGTTTTAACGTAGAAATAACTTTTGGAAATTCTTCATCTTCAACAGTTGGATTATTTTTTGTGATTGTATTTGATTCATATTTTATTTAACAAATTATGAAATTAATAAATATAATAAAATTAAATATATAAAAATAAAGACATCTGCATAGCAAACGTAATTTAATTACGAAATTAATTAAACTAGCAACGAGTTGATCAACTATCCTGGCAGGATTTAAAATTTTGGTAATGCCATCTGTTATCACATTTTATTAAGAAAATTGTTATATTTTTAAGTATTATAAAATGACAAAAAGTTTAATTTTTTATGATAAAGACGAGTTTATAAAAAATTTTAAATCCTAGTAACGAGTTAAATCGTCAATAAGACTGACCCTAATCGAAATACACACGACTTCCATTATATCCCCATCTTCTCAACATTTAATCAAGAAAATTGTGAGTTTCGACCCCAGTGTAAACTTAAATTTTTTACTTTCCACTTAAACTTTCGACATATTTGAAATTAATTTGTCGTCTCCTCGTTAAAATAACATTGTCGGAAAAAAGGAATCAAATATCTGATCAACAACGATAGAAACTTATAACTCTCCTCTTAATGTAAACATTCAACTATCTAACAATGGCATTTTTCTGCTGCAAGACTTAAAATTTACAAATAAAGTCTCAATTCGTCATTTTGTTTTGGTCCCGGGAAGAACTTTAACCTCCACACCTGCAAGGCCAACCTTATATCCACCAATAGTTGATCACATGACGAATTCTCCTGCCACGAAGCTATAAAAGCGACTTCTGTCCCCCACCTCGGGGGAGTCTCTCATCTACGGCTGGTCGGAAAGGATTAAGTCTCGGTGGATTTCTACGATCACAAGACGAAGGACAATATTTTCTATTATACGTGGAATTATCTTAGAAGTATGAAACAATTAATGTGAACTCTCTCTCCGAGTATCAGGAGCTAGCGAACCAATTTAAAAGTTCTTTATGTTAGAGTCTGTAATCGTTAAATTTTGTTAATCTAATAAATCGTTGTTTCCATTGTTAAATGGTGTCATTTACTTGCATATCGACAACCCTTCTCACCTCCTCCACTAGACTCCTCAGGATAGAAAATTCGTAAACACGCCATCCCCTGACAAGTGGGCAGTTTTAAACGAACTGTTGCCAATAAAAAGAGATACGACCTCGTCATACTTCCGACGTCCTCATAATTATACATCATCAGTCCTCTTATTACACATACTTCTGTAGAAAATTTCAGAAATTTTTAACAAAAAGCACAGGAGTGAAAGCTTTAAAGCATATAACGTATTCGTGACACACGCTAACATTTATACATACAGAAATTACCCTCGAATTTTTTGCATTTTCCGATCTTTCATGAATGTCTGAATAGTTTTGTATTGAATAAAAATTTTTTATATTTTTTATGATTGAAAGTTTTTACAATAGATTTTTTAATAATTTTGGTGTTGTTTTGTTTTAATTGTCAAAAAGCATAAAAATACACTTTTGGTTTTAATTAAAAAAAATTCAATTATTGATTTAATTAAAAAAGTTTTTCCTTTTAAAATATTTTATGTTTGTTACATTATATAATTTATGAGTTTTTGAATAGTTGCTAAAATCAGTTGGAAAATGATTTAAAGTCATTATAAACTTTATTTTTTAAATTTGACGCATTAGTGAATCTGTGTTGAATAAATTTACATTTTTAGCGTATTTACTTTTACATATTTTATAAAAAGTTGGATTTAGCCTATATGTAATTTGCTAAATTTTAACAAAAAAACCGATATAAATCGGTTTCTTTATACATATGTGAGGGTCGGATCACATAAAATAAAATTAAATAAAGAAGCTCAAAGTAAATTAAATATCTTTATTAAAGTTAAACAAAGAAAAACTTCAGTTTTCGAAATATTACGAAAAAGGATATACACATTTCCTTCCCACGGAGTCGTTTCCTATCTCTCAGGAACCCGAAAAATGATTCATAAGGAACTTATTTTAAAAATCGGCAATTGGCGAAACCCAGTAACGTGACGAAAGGTATAAAAGAGGGGTGACGACGAGAAAAGGGGGTCCGTCGTCGCCGTCCGTGAACACGGTCCGTCATCACCGTTCATGATCGCCGAAAACCCGTGCCGCAGTCCGTTCCTCGAGACAACTTGTCCGATTCGGTTAGAAAACGTCCGATCGTTCGATTCCCTCCTCGTAGAGGTATGATACCCATTAATGTAAACTCTCTCTCTACGCGTTTTCCTCCACTTCCGCGTGTCGGTTCCGCTCGAGATAAGCTCAATGTATATATGTTAGTTATGTTATCTTATAAATAAATCCTTGTTTTGTTGTTAATTGGTGTCTTTAATTCGAGTATCGCCAACGTCTTACCGACGACCCCTCTCACATCCTCCAATCGACCTGAGAAAAGAATCCCGACTTTCCGGGATAGAAAAACCCATAAACAAGCCATCCATTGACCAGTGGGCAGTTCTCACCAAACTGTTGTCTATCAAAAAGAGGTACAACTTCGTCTTACCTCAGGCTACCCACACATGTATAGGGCCTAACTCACGAATAGTATCAAATATATACATTTTAACAATTCAAACTCTTACATCCTATAAGAAAATAACACTTGAAGAGAATATTCTAAAATAATTGTGAATAAAAATTTTCAGTACATCTTGTATTATGGTAAAAATCATAACACGAAATCTACAAAAATCATTATCGAAGACGATTTATTATTTTAACATCTTGTACTTTCGATACTTTCTTTAGCGTAATATTTATCTTTGGCAATTTTGTATAACTCATTCATTGAAGTTTTTCCTGTTTTCTTTATCAAATTATAAAAAGTACCGTTTACATTCTTTAGTAATGCATACGGCGAATCAAATTCTTGCAGTCTTCCTGTATCCATAACCTAAAATTTGAAATGTGTAATTAAAAAACACATATTTTTATTATTTTATTAAAAATAAGAATCTTACCAGAACTCTATCCGAATCGATAATTGTGTGTAATCTGTGGNTGGCGAATCAAATTCTTGCAGTCTTCCTGTATCCATAACCTAAAATTTGAAATGTGTAATTAAAAAACACATATTTTTATTATTTTATTAAAAATAAGAATCTTACCAGAACTCTATCCGAATCGATAATTGTGTGTAATCTGTGGGCTATTGTCAATACTGTACAAGATTTGAATTTCTCTCGAAGAATTTTCTGTATACGAGAATCGGTGCTGGACATAAAATTAAGAAAGTACTTCATTAATCTGAATCTATATGTCAGTTAAAAACATTAAATACGAATAAAAATACGTATTTCAAAATCTCACTACTAAAAACATATGAGGCAAAGGCCAACCGTTTATCATTTGCATTATGTGGGCTTGTTATTAGAGATTTTCTTCAAATAAACGAGATTTGCCAAAGAATAGTCTCCCATGAAGACTTTCGATTTATAAAAAACAGTTGCTTCTATTTAAACAATCTATTCATATTCACAAATTTTATCTTGTTGGTATAGCATGAAACCACCTCAGCTACTACAGTTTAAAGGGTTAAGAGCTTCTGGCGATACTTTATCCTATTTTTAGGTATGTGTTGCAGTTTTGGAAGTGAGGAACGAAAAATAGTGCTATTCATTTGCATTATATACCATCTGCAGAAGATAGGAAATTTGCGATTAATTATGTACTCATGTATAAAGAACAACACTTTTACTTTCCACGGGGTAATCGTTTGTCTTAAAGAATACAAGAATAATTGTATCACTGGCCAGAAACCAGATGCAATTAAAGCATTAGTCTACCACTTTGGGACTCCAGAATTGACTTCAGAAAAGAACAAAAGTTTTTCATGGAGACAGAAAACCGATCAAAAGTTTCTGGATTGTCTGTCTCCATGAAAAACTCTTAGCTGTTCTTGTGAGTTTTGTCAATCCTATAGTTGACATAATTATAACAGAGTAGATAATGTGCAGGATTGAATGAAAACTAAATACAAAAAGTTTTCGTGTATATGAGGTTTATATGATGTAATTCAATTTTTATAAAAATATAATATTCTCCGGATTGCTTATTGAAATAATACTATTAATAATGTATTACATTCTCTGGCATGTACTTAGTATTTTTCATGACAAAACAATTGTATTTTATGGTCAAGGGCGAATCTACATGGAGACTAATAGAGCTTCAAGCCCTGGGCTTCAAGTTTCAAATGCCCTGAAAAATCGAATTATTTTCATAGATTTTTAATTCTTTCTCATTAAACGAAGGTCGAGTAAACCAGACTTTTTAACATTAATGCCTATTAATGTTAAAATGCCTATGTAAGTTTGCCGGACCACAGAAAACTGACTATGTACAGTACCTAACCGACGGTGTCGAGTTATACCCATGACGACTTATGCGGACTAGACTGCATTTTGTTTTTTCACACACTATATGTGTAAGCTGTTACCATATTCCTTGTTTTCCGAATAGCTAAAGTCTAAATTGCACAAGTACGAAGCTAATGTTATACAAATAACAACGTATTGTAGTACTCCACATACTAACCAGAAAAAATCAGATCACAATCAAGTACGAAGTAGACACGAAAACGACAATTTACTCCATTGTTAACAAGTCACGTACACCAACCACAAACAATCAAAACTTCAATTGGAAGAAGCGTATTCAACAGTTTATCTTCACACAGTAGAACATAATGCAACATTTATCGATCACATTACATTAAAATTTTAAAATCGATTATAAATTTGAATATTGACAAATAATATTTTGTTCGTTTTTCCTGTGACTCCAAAAAAGCCTCTTTTCCAAACTCTTCGTAACTACGACCACATCTACAATGACCTAACAATAAGAAATGGGCCAAAATATATCCTGAACTTACCATTAAGTCCAGGATATATTTTGGCCCATTTCTTATTGGGCATAAAATATTTCTGATGATTTGTCCGGTATCCATTCCAGATTCTTAGCACGGTAGATTAAAGTTTAAACATATAACCAATTAGTGATGTCTTAATATCAATCATGTAATCATAAATAGCACTTATTCTGCCTTGGTATATGCTAGGGTACGTCAATACCAATTTCCACGTTCAAAATGGGATATACTAGATTATGATACGGTTGACAAGTATTGACACTTAGCTTCAAACAAGTGTTTAAAATCGTTGCATAAATTCTCAATGTGAAAACTATTGAGTAAAATATACAAAAAATTGAATTATTATCATTTAATTGGGTTTAGTTTGTAACTTATTTAAAGTAGTTAGAAGAAATATGTTAGAGATTTCGAAAAGGTTGTAACAACTTTCTATACAACACAAATGTTAAACGAAAATACAGTAATTTATACTTGGAAATAGTTAAATTTTGAATATCATGTATTCTAACCTCTTATCTATATTCGATGTTGCTTCGTCCATAACAAGAATTTTATTCCGACGAAGAGTGGTTCTGGCAAGGCAAATTAACTGTCTTTCTCCTACGCTGAAATTTCTTCCTCCTTCTGATAAATGTGTATCCAACCCTCCAGGTAATTTAGCAATAACATGCTTTAATTGCACCTAAAATTAAAACACTTTTAAAAAATAAATACAAAATAATTAGAAAAGTTGTAATATTTGTTTATTTCTAACCTCTTCTAATGCTTTCCACAACATTTCTTCTGGATATTCATTAAAAGGATCGATGTTTCTTCGAAGTGGCCCAGTAAATAACATTGGATCCTAAAAAATACACATAAGCTGTATTAAACACTTGTATTTTACAATAGGTTTATATATTAAATTTGATGCAATAGAGTTAGAACGAAGGTAAGTATTCAACTTTCCATTGTTTGCATGGCACCAGTCAGATGTCATGCGCCATTGTTTCGAAACTCGATTCTTGTAAAAGTTTGAAAAAATAAAACGTTAATATCTTTCTAATATTATAACTCATGAAGAACGCAATACATACATTTGCCATTGCTGGGCAACATTTTTACATAGAAAAAGTTCTGGCATCTCACAGACAAGAGCAAACCTGTTGTGCAAAAATCTGCAGGAATTGTGAATGCGCTGTACTGTTAGGCATCGCACGTAATTGGCGTGATTCATCGCGACATTAACGTAGAAAGAGTACATTTTTAAATAATACTATAGACATTGGTGAGATACTTTTGAAATTTTTATATTTACAGTAGTTATAATATAATAGATTCTCACAAATTAAGTTACCGAAAATGACGAGTTTTACGACTAAGTAATGCTAATAATGCTAATCTGAATTGTGGAATTTTCTTAAACTATTATATGGGCGAATTCATATACGTATTAACTATGTACGAATAGGGTTAATTTGTATTTATAGTTAAATTTTAATTTAAAAAATACTGGCTATTCAGTAGCAACTTTCAAGTTAATAACATATATCATGATTTGTTTTTTGAAACCGTGTCCTGTTTTATATTTGTGGTCGACTCAACTAATAAAGGAATTTGATGGAAAATTTGCCATGTGTCTTTGGAATAAAACACAATACTAGTGTTTACTACGCCACAAATATATTATGATATTTTGCAATTGTTTCTTAAAAAAAGAGTTTTATTCTTTGTTAACACACGGAGTTTATGCTATTATCACGTGTCACCAGTGAAGAACAATAAGTTGTTTTATTCTAACATAAAGTTATATTCTGTTACATTTATCAAAATTATACAGTAATATAGGATAAAGTTTTATATAGTGATAAATTTTGGTTTTACTAAAACGCTGAAGTATTACTAACTAGAGAGAAAGGTAATGCTATTTTATGAACACTCTTATTTTTACATAAGATACTGGTTATAGATAATATAAACCACATTATAATTTGGTAGTCAGGCCATAATTATTAGGTGTCAGGTAGACGTAATATAATGATAAAACTTGGCAATATATTGACAGGTAAAGTAAGTTCTTAAGAACACATTTTTATTTTTTTTTATTCACACTCATTACCACTGACTGCCAGACATCTTCCCTGAACACGTCTCCCACACAAATTAGTCTACATACATGGTTATATTTGTATAAATTTATGTAATATACTATTGTTATATTACATATATACAAGGGACTTATAACACTACTCATGATCCCATGGAAGCATCATCAGTATTTACGTTCCTGTTTCAAAACAGGAAAACAAGGTAATTCATTTCAAAACTAATGGAAATATGGTTTCTTATTTCATACCAAAAGCCGGTAAAAACATTCACCAGAAGCAAAAGAAGTGGTAGCAATATAATTACTTTCATCAATTTAACAATGTACTAGAAAATTAGAAATTTCCAAAGTTCAAACTTTGATTTATTTTAAGACACTGAACTGATAAAATGTTCGAGTAATAAATAAAAGCTAATCTGCTCTCTAAAACCTTCCATTTTCCAAAATCACTATAATCGAAATAAAAAAGCTTTTCCTCTCTATCACTTGATAAAAGCAAAAACTATTATTAAAATTTTCTTTTTTCACTATATGTAGTTAAAATCCTCACATACTATCAACAGTAGTAAATTGGTTACTGTTTATGGAAAATCATCATCACGTTATTAGTATCACCAAATTATTAATTATTCATTTACCTTAGAATGAAACCAACTGTGCACAGTCTATCATTTATATTCTATGGAATTAGAAACAATACAACTAATATATATAGTCTGTATCATTGCAACTATTTTCAAAAGTAACACAGTGACAGGCAATTGACTGATTCTAAGTATACCAAGAGTGATACAATATAATTATGAAAACATTAAAAATAATTAGAATTTTTTTTTATGGGCATAGACAGATTTTTGTTTTCGATATCGTTTGATGTTAAAAGTGTCTTTTCATCAACTCCATTATGAGTTCATCAAAGCCCACAATTGAAAGGTTCGGTGATGGAAAATGTGGACCGACACATCTGTATTCGATCGCGGATCCCCCATCACAATAAGCCGACAGCCTTACAACTTGGCCATCATGCCTTCAACTATAACATTAAATTATGTATTTGACATAATTTACAAGAAATTTTTACTGAAATAGTTTTAACATACTTGAGGAATGATTGAAATTTTACTACGTAAATCTCGAAGCCCGATACTTTTGGTGTCAATTCCATCGATGGTAATTGTTCCCGTTGGCTCTGTCATGCGAAATAACGAAGCAATTATAGAACTTTTTCCAGCTCCTGTTCTTCCGACAATTCCTATCTGAAAGTAATAAACAATAATAAATTTCAGACAATAATTACTTACATTTGTTTGCATTTTTCACAGATTTTACCTTTTCTCCCGAGTGAATACGAAATGTTAAGTTCTTTAAAACAATATTTTTATCGTTGGAATATCGTAAAGAAACATTATCAAAATGAATTTCTCCTTTTTGTGGCCAGTCTTTGGGTGGTTGTTTATCGGGTGAACTTTCATACGATCCTTCTGATTTCAACTTGCTGTAGTTCAGTATGCGTGCAACAGAGTTCATCTGAAAAATTAATTTTCTCTCAAATAACACAATGTATGAAAGTTATTGGAGTAACAATATATAGTATTATATTTCTTGTTTTACTTTTCCGGCCGTTATGTATGCTTAACATGGGAAAGTATAGGGATAGTGTCAAATTCGAGCATCCGAATTCTTTTGCAAATCTCAACGTTTTGATTCTTGTTGAACCCAAAAATTTTTTGCAGCTATTTTCAATTTTTGGGTTGGTCGTCAGTTTCCCATGTTCTGCGTGCAAAAATGTCTAGAAAACAATCGACTTTAAAATTGATTTCGTGATTAAGGAATTAGACGGCAATATATTTCGCTGTACCAAAAATACAATTTTCTGTGTTAAATGTTCTACACACGTCAACTACGAACGTGATACAATTAAGAAACGACTTTCGGAACATCACAACAGTGTAAAACACAAGAAACCTAACACGATACAGTCACAAACACTGTTGTTTGAAAATGGAAGCAATTTTGATAAAGAAATGGTTGAAGCATTCACCAGTGTAGATGTTCCGCTTGACAAATTAAATAACGAAATACTGAGATTGTTTCTCGAGAAATACATGAAGAAGCCGATTAAAAGTGTTTCAGGAATTTGTTATTATAATTACTCTTTTTAATGAATCGTTTATTTTATTGAAATTGATGCTGCTGTTTGAGACTGTGCTCATAATTTAGCTGAAATATGATTTTATTCGAAGTTTCATTGCGTTACTTATTTTTTAACACTGCGGGCACATCAAAAAACTATCCTCAAGTCAGTAACAGAAAAAATTAAGGACGAAATTAATGGGCATGATGTGTATTTCATTGTTGACAAAGCTAGTGACAAAGTGCAACATAAAGTGGTCAACGTGCTTACAAAAAAATTGAATGGCGAGAAAGCAAAATTAATGTTAATTGATGCGATTTCACTCAATAGTTGACAACATTATAATACAAGAATAAATACTCAACGTGTCTAGAAAATTGTGGACAAATGATTTAAAATATTCAAAACTGAAGTTAATAGTGACAGATCGAGCAAAATACACGATGAAGGCAGTAAGTTAGATTAAGAAAAATTCATTCATTTTTCCAAATGTGCATCACGTCACGTGTCTCGCTCACACTCCTTACATAACATTGCACTTAGGATTCAGAATGAGTACAAATTAACAAATTCGCTTATATCAGAAATGAAGAAGTTTTTGGTGAAGTCAAGAGAAAAACAAAAGAGAATGCAACTGGAGTTAGTAATATTCCTTCAGAACTAATTGTCATTCATTCGGGGTCTTGGTTAAACGCTGCAAAGTACTATGTCCATAATTTTGATACTTTTGAGCGCTTCAATTTAATCTATAAACAAAAATCTCATTCAAATGCTAGAAATGTTTTGGTGAAACTAATTGCGAGAGAAGAAAGTTAACCTCAAGAAACAATTGTTTGCTCTCCGTAATCTCGTCAAGCTATCAAATATTATAATATTACTGGAAGAACAAGGACTCGATGTAACTAAACAAGCCGAACTAATTGAAAATGCAAAAGAAATTGTTTCTGGTTATCCTATATTTTCTCAAAAATTCGAAAAAGTTTTGCAAAGCAACCTGATCTTATCAAATTTACGTCTTTTGATATGAATTTAAATGATAAAGTTAATAGCGAATACGCTCCTTTAGTTGCAGTCGACGTTAAACGTTCGTATTTATTATATTGAGCGATCAACAAGATAGTTTAACAATTTTTTTCTTGACCGCCTTTCATGAAATATCTAAGTGTAATTCATTTTTAACTCGTTTATGAAATAAATAACTGGCGATTTTTTTGGGCGAATTTAAGGCAAAAAATTGCAGATTTTCACTGAGATTTTAAGCCCAAAAACTGACGAAAACTTTCGGAATTACAAAAATACTTTTGATTTCATCTCTGATTGTATTTTTAACAATTGTACCATTAGAACCATTTTGGAAGTTACTTTTAATTAATATTACTAAACACTATTTAAGTAAATAACATGTGAAAAACCTGAATAAAGCAGCCGCATTTCATTATCAGGCTTTATTCTGTTAAAATTACTCTATACTGAATAAAATAGAAAAAATAATTGTGAAAAATATAATATGATCCATAAAGTTTTATATATTTGTTTCATCCTTGAATTAACTATCGGTTTAATTGCGTTGAAAATACCTGAAATTCTACTTCAGATGAATTCTTCATAAGGAGTTGGAAGTAAATTAGTATTAATACTCCATAGTTTATAAGAAGTCCAATTTGGCTTCCTATATGATCTAAAATTAAAAATATAAACTGAAAATTACATATTTTCTACAATATAGACAATTAAATATATTAACCTACCTGCATTAATTGAAACAATAAAAATAACGATGATAATAATGAAATTTATGAAACAAACGAAGTAACCGTATACATTAAGCCATCGATATAAGGCTACGTAAGTGAACCATGTTGCAGTGTGCTTATCTTGATACTTATGAAAGGTGGATGTAAATTTATCTTGAGCTTTAAATGCTCTAATTGTTGCAAGTCCGTAAAGAGAAACACTTAGATGCGAAAATACTGGACTTCTTGCTGTGAAAAAGAAAATTATATGAATAATACAATTATTTAAACAAAACTTTTTAAAATGTAATAATTGTATACTTTTTATAGTTGAAAATGCACCAATAAACTAATTTTTATATAAAATATACATTGGAAAATAACTAAGATACAAATTTAGAAATGATACGTATAATTTATACATTCATATCTAAAATTTAAGCATTACTATCTGTACAAAGATTGAGTACGTTTAGCCATCCCCTCTACAAATGTCAATAAACCGCTAAATTTTTTTACAATCACAAAACAATTAGCGTCAATAAACCGCTAATTGTTTTGTGACTGTAAAAAAAAGCTCACTTCTCTGTTAGAAGTCAATCAAATATCAATGTCATTGTTTCATTTCATTAAAAAGTTTATTTTCTTTAACATTTTGCAGCTAGTTTTGTTAGATCCGGTAACTTTATGTTTAATTTTTTATGTAATACAGTCAGACAGAGACTTTTCAGGCGAATGGTAAAAGATGTACTTTATTCGTTCTATTGTTATCATTACCAAAATTTACTACTGTACTGCAGTAATAATAGATTCCGAAAAAGACTAATGGATAAAATCAGTAAATACGATAGGCTACGTATTCTGCACACAATTGAGTTAAAAACAATAAATTGAAGTATATATAAATTACTTACATTTTCCTTCCATATGCTTTATGCTTTGTAACACTCGGCTATAGATTGTTTGTAAAACGTAAAACACTATTAAAAGGAGAATTGTTAATATCAATACATAAGGAGAAAGGATTGCTTGAACAACAAATATGCCAACAAGAAGAAAGCATCCCTAAAAGAAATAATATACTGTAAGTGTCTAATAAATGAAAACATATTTAACATTTCCTATGCCGTAAATTTATTTACTTATTGTTACTTATCTATATTAGTGATGTAACGAATATTCGGTTACTATTCGGTATTCGGCCTATTTTTCACTATTCGGCCGAATACCGAATATTTAATCATTATTCGACCGAATACCGAATACCTAAAAACAGGAGTAATAAATAACAAAAACACAGTAAATTAATCATTTTGGAATTTAGATTTAATGTTGTCGAGTTAGTATTGCTTGTTTATATTTATTTATAACTTGTAACATGCACAAAATGAAAAAGAAAATAATATTAGTCACATGTATTCACAATTTATAATTACAAAGATCAGCACACGTACAAGTATATCGTTGGAGAATCCTCGCACATCTGAGGGTCTGACCCTGCCTATCCTTTTTAAGCGTTCGTCTTTGCTGTTTCCTTTCTCTTTCCTCTATCTCTCTAGTTCACGTATGCCTATGCATACATCATAATACGCGCTCACGATACTTTCGATTCGTCACTTTTCCGTCGTAGAGTTCCCATTTTACAATTACGTGACTCAGCCTGGTTATAACGGAGAAAAGAGACAAATAGGACGTCGATATATCGTCACAGTTATGATTTCACAGATCGAGACAGCTTGATAGCCCGAACGGTCCCAGGCTTTCGCCCGTGCACGCTAAGTGACTTTCATTACAAGCATTTAGCTTTCCGAAGTCTATGACAACAATTGTTTTGACATTGACAGGCGCAAATTTCGTGCCAGTAAGCTGCCTCGACTTGTTCGATTATGTTATCAACTCAATTTCATATTTAATTTCACATTTTCACTTCGCAGTTACTCTCTGTTCTTTTTCCGTTATTTACACGTGTAGATCATTTCATTGTTATCCACATTTGATATCATCACTTATCACATACTTCCATGACGCTCTTGTCTGTCTGCTACAACTGCCAAGAATTAACGCTATTGGCGAAGCGTAGTGACAGCGGGCCAATAGAGAGCAGGATCCTTGCCATAATGCGGTTTGCGCGCCAATTTTCGTACGTGCGTTAATCGAGCCGAATAGTTTGGCCGAATATTCGGCTATTCGGCCACGCTCCTGGTCGAATATTCGGTATTCGGCCTGAGGCCGAATTTACTATTCGTTACAACACTAATCTATATATATAACCCATTCAACGGGTGTCTGTCTGCGTAACCGTTTGATAATGGACACTAGAGGCGCCCCTATCGTGTGTCATATTTCAAACATTCAATTAACAATTTTAATTATTATTTAAATTAACAATATAAATTATTATTCGTCATTTGGCCCATAAATTATTATTTGGTCAATATAACAATATAAATAATTCAGTATATTTGTAATAGGAATTTATTATTTCAGGAACTTATATCTCGCGAAGGGTCTCGAGTAAGGGTATGGTTCTTTTGACTTTATTGTCTGCACAGGGGCTACAGTTTAGGGGGTCGCCACCTCTTCATTCAGAGGGTAAATCTTACCATTGGACTTTAACAGAGCTGTAGAGCATATTGATAGGAACAAAAAAGTCAAAGGAACCGTGCCTCATGGAAAATTGTAAAGAACGCACACTAGGGGGCGTTCCGGGCTACTAGTAACTGAATAATGTGACATCAGATAATAAAAACAACTTTTAAAGTCAAACTAAAATTAAAAATGAACTTGTTTGTGTTTCTTAGTGTAATATATAAAATGTTTAATCTTTTATTTATTTTTATAGGGTAGGTTACAGTGTACCTAGATAACCACAATAGCGGCACTTCGGACTTTTCGTGTTCTCGGCTGACTCCTCCCAAAGGGGAGCCGCCGGCAGGCTGCCCATTGTTAACGTCACGGTAATTCTTGAACAAAAGAAAAAAAAGGAAACGTCTACTAAAAATGTACTTAACCTAACCAAATCAACCTAAACGAAGCACCGCCATTGGGGTTACATTGGTACACTTTACCACCGGGTGTACTGTGGTGGCATTTCGAATTACACAAAATAATTTTTTTTTACACTGGCACCTATTTGTAGTACATAAATCAGTTCGTCCTAGGTCAAACTAGTTAAGCCTAAAGTCTTTAGGCCAAACTAGATTATCCTAGGCTAAACTATATATCCTGACATGCGTAGAACAAACTAGTTTGGCCTGAAATCGGGTTTGGTCGGTAACATATCTAATTCACAAATGTCTCTCAGTAAATGGATATCTCTCTTATATGTCCATTAGTTGTAATAATTTATTTTAGAAAAGTTTAAATATTCAAATTAAAATAAACTTACTCTTATTAAAGTGCAAAAGTTTAAAGGTAATGTATCGTCCATGTTACTAACATCCTTGGAAAACCGATTTAAGATCTTTCCTAGAAAATACAAAAGGTAAAATATGAATTAGATTAAATATCCTCTAATCTGGTACTTCGAACGACTCTAACACGAAACAATCCAGAGTTTGAACTGTAAATTGGAGAGGAATTAGACCTGGAGGTTGAACTACGTTTCAAAATTCGTATTGTAGGAGTATCAATAAATGAGCTCGCTGCCTAAATGCCATCTGTTGTGCACCCAAATCGTCTTGCTTTTGCTGGGAAAGAATCTCTTGCGTTACAATTGTGGGCTTTCAGTGTTTTTTCTCTTTTTTTTGGTATGACGGTTTTTACATAAATATATAATCACCAGTTATTAACAATGGCATCCAAGAAAAGAGTGAAAGAGACGAAGCCTAAGAGGAAGGTTGTAGTATAATCGATTGATGTGAAAAAGAAACTTGTCGCGAAGAATAAAAGTTGTACAAATGTGGTGGATCTATCGGATGTATCTGGAACCCACCATCGACTTTGGCATCGTGTTGCCAAAGTCGATGGTGGGTGCCGTTCTTAAAAACTTAAGATTGAAAAAAATCGTTTTAGTGTGAATAAATGAGAAGAAATTGACTGATGAAATTATCTCCGAGCGAACTATTTGCAAAAAAACAAAGTAGCTGCATAATGAACTTTAAGAAATAAGACATCATTATTTCTCATTAATGTAGAGTAAATACACTAATTATCTTACTATAAAGTATTTCCTTATTTCATTTATTGTTTTCATATTTTATATTGGGAATTTAATAATTGTGTGCTGCTTCTGGTTTATCCAAAATGGGTATTGTTTAGTGCCTGCAAATTGATTAATTTATATTTCATTGCATCTAGAAGAATAAACTGGATCAAACTTATTCATTTCAACCTCCTTTACTCAAAATTTAAGGAAAGAAATTTGTGTAAATTGTATCAAGTTCTTCACTTTTTTAAGAATTGCCTCATCAAATATTATCCAAATACATTTAACTCAATAATGAATTTAAAATATATATTTTACCTACCAACGGGATTGTTATCCAAAAATGATATTGGAGTTCGAATAATACAACGGAACATATTGTTGTGAAGTTTTCTAGATGCAGATGTAAACATCTCATACACTAATGATCCAGAAAGTAATGTTGTTAGAAATACTACACATATTAATCCAAAGTAAACATATATGTTGAATTCTTCACTATGATAAAAATTTATGTCTTTATTGTTATTATGAATTCTTGTCTTATCTGTAATATTTTCCAGTTTATCTATATTTTCACTATAAATTCTTTTATCACGTAACCTGAAAAATAAACATGAAATAATTAAATTTTCTTAGTGTTGCGATATTTATTTTACAGATAGAGATAGAAAATAAAAACTACATTTCAAGTCATAATATATGTTTATCGATAGTAAACTCATAATATTTTATTATGATAGAATAAATGCAATTTAGAGAATGTAATGTTTTCCTCAAATGTTTTATTTTAAAAACGTTTTCACACATTAGTTATCATAATGTACTACCATTTTATTAGCCAATAGTCGCTTGCACTTGTAATCGATTGTGATATAATAAATGTCACTAATACAATAATCTTGAAAAGGAAACCAGTGCCGGCATTCAGATATTCTTTATAAATTGAAATTCCTATTATGCCAACTCCCTCATCATGTGGCATTTCGTTATTTTCAGCTTCCTGTGGGAAATAATTTGTAAAATTATATCAATTATTCAATGAGTTATTCATAATCTGAAACAATATTCTAACATGTTTTTTTAAATCAAAAAATTCAGATATATATATTTTTTTAATTTATAATTACATGAACCAAACAAAAACAATTTACTGTTGTCTTAAACACGTCTTATTTATATACTATATATTAACAGAATGAAAACTTGCAGATGAAAAAGCAATAAGAAATACACCACAATAAAAGATTCTCAGTGAAAAGTTCACAATACAAAAATCTAGCAATGAGTTGCATAACTTTCCTGGCTCTTATCAGAGTTTATTAAAAATATCACTTTCAGAATGAAAAAGAATAATACCTCGCAGATACTTTTGTAAAAATAAATAATAATTAAATGGCTTAGCACTGGTTCACAAACCATAGTGTGACTAGCACTCTATTAAGGCACACAAATGGAAAATTCATTCAGTCACATGCAAAGCGTTTTAGAATTAAGTTTAGCCTCCAAACATTTTTTATTGAACAGAATATACCACCTATTTCATCATCGTCATTATGAATTTATTGTTTTTTGCGCTTAAAATGATATGAGTGGTACCGTAAAATGTAGGCTTCTAATTTGCTTAAATCGCAGATGTAACTCGTAATAACAATGTCATCTGTATAAATAAAACTATTTTCTTTCAGAATTATTTGAAATAAATCATTGTCTCGTTTTTTCTCATTCGTTTCTTTATTTCCCACAATGATATGTCTATCTTCACTTACCAAAGGGCAACTGTAACATATTACAGTAATCCTTTCTGAGGTTGGATCTTTCGTCCAAGCTAGGGACACCTATAATTTCAGCTACAGAGTAAAGATATTTACTTACATCTGACAATATTTACATACATTTTTGAATACAGTAGAGCGTCGTTTATCCGAAACGTCGTTTATCCGAAAGAATTCCAGTCGGCAAATTTTAATTTTAGCTAGTGCTCTGGTGCTGCAATCTCTGGCTATATCTTAGGCTACTCCAATATTTTTTTTTTGTTGGTGTGTGTTTTAGCTGAGAGCACTGGCACTTATGTGTGGTGTTTTTCTGAGGACTGTGTGTCATGCTGAATCGAACGTTTTTGATACTAGATTAACTTCTAAAGTATAAATTTTTTTGTTTTTATATTTTTCAATGTATCTATTTTGTTTGTAAAAAGTAAAGAAATAATTTTTAACGATACAATAGCCACGATTATTATTTTAAAAAGTTTACTTTAGGCTTAACATCGACGAAAATTCAACGCGAAGCGACACGCAACGTAGAAAAATTCCAACACGGGATACATAAATATATTTTTTCGTACATGATCGGTTATCCGAAAAATAAGTCATCCAAACAACCCCAGTCCCCAATTGATTCTGATAAATGACGCTCTGCTGTATATGTAGGCTATATAAAAATAGCAATAACTGTGGATGAATAAGTAACCAGCAAAAAGCAACAGCATGACTAGTCTCGTGGGCTGGTTATTTAAAATAAGTATTCTATTCAGTAATTCTCAAAATCACTATGTCAATCAATGTCTAATATTGAAAGCAATATGTTAGTGTAAGTATTACCTATATACTTTATAACAATTTATTACTAAAAAGAAATAATTTTATTTTATAATTAGATTTTCACTATATGTACAGAAATTAATAAAATCAGTCTGAGAAATGAAAACTGACACATCTCAATTACTCTACTCTAAAATTATTCACTCAGATATGAATTGTTCAATAGATAATTCTTACCACATTACTGTTGTTACTATATTCCATGTCATCATGGATATCGGATTCAGTACTTTCGATTACTTCATCAACGTTGAAGTGTGCAGTATGTAATTCCATGCTACTTAAAGCCATTTCTGACTCTGAAGACATTCCAGTAAGCATTTTTAAATTTTCAATTTCATTGAAATTACCAAAGAATTCACACGTTCCCTGCAATGTATAATAATACGTATAAATGCAATTCTTTCTGTCTTTATATACTGGCATATATAGTCTATATATGACAGTATATACAGAATAGTTTTTACAATAATTTTTCTTGACTAATCGCTTATATATTACCATATAAAATATTTAAAAAACAAAACTTGTAAGTTATATATTTACCTTATTTAATAATAAAATTTTGCTTCCAGAATTTAAAAACTGTAATTGGTGTGTAACTAGAATGCAAATCTTATCTTTCAAGTATTCCATTATACATCTAAAATAAACAAGTTAAGATATATTATAGTATATAAAAATATTTATTTAAATATTTACTTCTCGAAGATATGTTTCGCCACTGGAACATCAACAGCACTCAGTGGATCATCAAGGAGGAATATATCGGCATCTAGATATAATGATCTACAAAATATAAAAATATATCAATGTGATAAAATAATGTTATAACCAACTAGAAATAATATTTTTAAGTATAAGACTAAAATATAAAGCAATTTTTATATATTTTGGACTTTCTGGTCACTTATGATTTCTTATTTTTACACTCTTCCATGTGCACCCGTGTTTACTTTGTTGATGCATACATTNCTTACAGTATGTAAATTAGGTACCGTAAGTCTAATACAGCACTGTAATTTTATACATTTCTTGTGAAAGAAACATTTCTTATTCAACGGCGATAAAAATTATTTATATTAATGATGTCTCCAAAGTTCAGCGAAGTTTTCTCAGAAAAATAACATCAGAAATCGCGGCCGCAGTTTGCTGAGCTGTTCCGCGACGAAAACAAGCTTAAGCAATGGCGACGTCGAACGGTGAACACTCGGTAAGTAATCCTACAATTTTTTGTTTATAGCATAGTTTATACGGATTATTCCCAAAAAAACATACGTATTTTGGAAATTTTGAGTCGGATTAGTCTAGAATGGATTAATTTTATGGAAGAAAACCTTTCAATCAGCCGTAGTCCGTAAACTTGACACGTGTCGGACTGTGATTGGAAGGACTCGTAAGAAATCGGATTCCTACAGAATGGAACGTATCTACTGTCTTATAGGGGGGTCGACTGTAATTCTATTTTATAATTAGATTTTCACTATATGTACTGAAATTGATAAAATCAGTCTGAGAAATGAAAACTAACACATCTCAATTACTCTACTCTAAAATTATTCACTCAGATATTAATTGTTCAATAGATAATTCTTACTGCATTACTGTTGTTACTATATTCCATGTCATCATGGATATCGGATTCAGTACTTTCGATTACTTCATCAACGTTGAAGTGTGCAGTATGTAATTCCATGCTACTTAAAGCCATTTCTGACTCTGAAGAAATTCCAGTAAGCATTTTTAAATTTTCAATTTCATTGACATTACCAAAGAATTCACACGTTCCCTGCAATGTATAATAAAATGTATAAATGCAATTCTTTTTGTTTTTATATACTAGCATAAATAGTCTATATATGACAGTATATACAGAATAGTTTTTACAATAATTTTTCTTGACTAATCGCTTATATATTACCATATAAAATATTTAAAAAACAAAACTTGTAAGTTATATATTTACCTTATTTAATAATAAAATTTTGCTTCCAGAATTTAAAAACTGTAATTGGTGTGTAACTAGAATGCAAATCTTATCTTTCAAGTATTCCATTATACATCTAAAATAAACAAGTTAAGATATATTATAGTATATAAAAATATTTATTTAAATATTTACTTCTCGAAGATATGTTTCGCCACTGGAACATCAACAGCACTCAGTGGATCATCAAGGAGGAATATATCGGCATCTAGATATAATGATCTACAAAATATAAAAATATATCAATGTGATAAAATAATGTTATAACCAACTAGAAATAATATTTTTAAGTATAAGACTAAAATATAAAGCAATTTTTATATATTTTGGACTTTCTGGTCACTTATGATTTCTTATTTTTACACTCTTCCATGTGCACCCGTGTTTACTTTGTTGATGCATACATTGCAGTTCATTGATATTCATTGTTCTTCTTAGAATGTAATAATTAATTCACAAATCAATATATATCATTTGAATTTTATTAAAATGTATTAATTATATTACATTTTAATTAAGGTTGTTTTCTATACTTTTAATGAAATATAATAACACCGTAAGACTTCTCTTACCTTGCTAGATTAATTCTTGCCTTTTGGCCACCGCTCATTATCACTCCTCTTTCTCCTACGATAGTGAGATCGCCTTTAGGAAATAAACTTATATCCTATAATTAGAAAAAATAAAAACAGAAATAAATTATGTTTGCAGAATATGCACTAAAAGTTTATTCAGAGTAAAAATAATTTTTACAGTCTTTTTAATAAATAGTTATCAAGTATAATGTAATTGCAAGTATTGACAATCACTCTGGGGGAAGAGTTAGTACACCATACTCATCCCCTACTATAAATGTAATTATTGCTAATTGTTTTATAACTCTACTAACTTACCCGTCGCGCATTGCTGCGATCTCACAAGAAAGGAAATTCAAGCAAACTCGTTATGGTAAAATTCAATTTACATTTTATTATTTTTATTGAAACTTATTATTATTATTCATTTTCATCGGGAAAACATTTCAAAGTGTCGTTTCAATTCTATTTATTTATTGGAGTGCTTGTGGATACGCGATATTTTTTGTTTTTCCTTCTGGAATAAATCGGAAGGTTTTTTGACACATGAGCTGGCCACATACAGTTGTCCACGCGAGAAGCACGGATTCTCCAAAGTTAGCCCACACACTCGCTGCGATTGTCAGAAGTGCGATATTCCCCATTTTTATATATAATTTTAAATCCTTTATAATTTTAATTATTTAATCGCTCCTTCCTCTCTTCCTTGGCATGTTGTGAAATTTCTGATAGTTGGATAATAAACCGTTTTATTGTAATACGTCTTTTTAAATTATTAGATGATATTAAAATTTGGAAAAGGGGATCCCTAGATCGGTAAAATAGGCGAATTTCCTTCTACAACTTCGGTTGTTGTTCGGTATACAGTTAAAGCTTTAACAAAGTTCGAGCGAATACGTAATTAGCAAAAAACAAGTTGAAATAAAGTGATTAAACAAACATTATTACGAATATCGTAAATAACAGTTCACAAATGCATATATAGAAATATTTTTTGAAGGGGGAAATGGCTTCACAATTTGAAATCGATCGAACACATTGTGCGCGAATGCTCGTGTAAACGCGCGCCATCTATCGTAGGATAAATGTACTTCGCGGAAGTGTATTAAAAACTCTCCGAAGTTTTATGGCAATCGTACTATGCCAGAAACCTTCGCCGGAGTATATTAAACAACTTCCCAAAGTTTCACGGCAATCGGATAAACGGTGTGGTAATGCATGAAGGACAGACACACACACACAAACATTTATTTTTATATATATAGATAAACCAAAGCATACTTCTTCTTTAGAATGAGTCTAACAATTGTACTGTAATAGATTTATCGCACTTGGAGGAATATTTTATTTAATAGTTAAAAACTATCTTTGTGAAGAATACTTTTTATACATGTACTTATTCTTTTATTTTTCGTTATATAGTCGCACAGTTTCAAAAATCGAAGATCTTAATTCAAAAAAACACCCATATATCTATTCTATATTTTATATGATGTATATATTAGAAGCAAGTGATCCAAAGTTTTCTTACAAGAGGATAGATAATATCATTTTCTTACCTTTTCTAAAGCTGTTATATGCAAGACATTTCTATATTTCTCTTCTTGATATTCTTCTCCAAACAAAATATTTTCTCTGATAGTTTCATTGAACACCCAAGCTTCTTGTGAAGCATAAGAGATCTTTCCTTTCACTGTCACTTTACCAGAAGTGATAGGAATCTCTCCCAATATGGACATTAATAAAGACGTCTAATTAAATTAATAAATAATGTAATTAATAAATAAGTATAAAATACTTTGTATGAATGAGATAAGTGAATAAATATTTCGAAATTATTCACAATACTAACAAATATTTCAATTACTAACGGCATTTATTAAAAGTCGCACATATACTAAACAATGACAGAACATATAGGATTAAAACGTAACAATAACTCAAAGATTAAAGTCATTTAGCTTTACATTTTATTTGTAAAGTAAACTTTTATATACGAGTATATAATAATTAAATCATATTAAAAGTTAAATTGTACATGCCCGGAATATTTTCGTTACAATCATGTGCCTATCAGTGAATGTATTTCTTATCCGTATCATAAAATAGTCTGCCATTTTTGTGTACGAAAGAAATAGAGTTAAGCATTCGACAATGAGTAAAGAAAGAAAGAAGATATTTACCTTTCCTGATCCAACAGGACCTGTAACAGTTAATAATTCTCCTGGCTGCACATTCATAGTTATTTCATTTAATGTTGGTTCGGTTCCCTTTTAATACGGTAAAGTTGTATTAGTAATGTGAAATTATGATATAGTTTAAACAACAAAACTGATAAAGTATACAGTCGACACGCGTCTACTTAGTTGGAATACAGTATATATTAATACAGTTGGAGTACAATATATTAATAAATTTAAGTTCACCTATAAACAGAAACATCAATCTGTAAGGCCTCTACTGTTATGTTAGGCTACAGTTTAGTAGGACTTTTTTCACATTTATCTTGCTCCCAGGAAACCTTATTATAAACTAAGCATGTGTTACTGTTCAATTTGTCACTGTTTCTTTATAGATACATATAGCTTTTTAAAAACACCAAGGTCTTTCTCACCGGGTGTTTAGTATTATGTATTGAATGCAAAGGTATTAAGAATGGATGTTTCATATTGTGTACTTTTATTAATATATTTTATTATGTACTTTTTACTAATATGAAGTGAAATTTAAACTATATCTTACTTTTCTCCATGCAGCAGTGACATTGTCCATCCATATTCCAAACTCGGTTAAATTTGATCTTTCCTCTACAATTTTCAAGGCATTTCTGTCTGTTTCTTCAAGGACGAGATAATCCTAAATTAAAATTTGAAAAATTTAGAATTCAAAGTGGTATAGTGTATTTAAAGAAAAGTAAAAGTTAAACATACTTTCAAACGTATTTATAAAACCAACCACGAGAAAACCGTAAGACTGAGAAGGATATTTTCTCGTGGTTGGTTTTTCTGGAGAAGGTTTAAGATTTTTTCCTCTTCCAGTATATATAAGCCTAATAAATAACCATCGACGGTTAATACGGCGCCGACTGGGGACACACTATAGCCCGATTACTTACGGCAATTGTGGGAGTGTATTTGCTAAGAATAGGGTTTCGGTGATGTTTATATCAATGATGAAATGGTTTTTTATGAAAAAGTAGAGATTGAACAATTGAAAAGAGCTTCAAGTCGATCTTGACATTGTGATGCTGTTTCTGTAGCCCCTGACAAAGCCATTCTTACTCGATGTTGCTGAAGTCGGACTTCACAGCCTTCTGGGGGTCTCGGTTGTTCTAATTCCTTTAGATCTAGAAGTTACCTGACCAATTTTACTCTTACGCTTAGGCATTTTTTCCGACGAAATAGCGAGTCATTTTAATTCTTCGTTGATAATTTAGTTCAAAGATGAATTGTACGTACACGTACGTTAATTAGATAAGCGATAACACTTTCTAAACACACATACACACACACATAGCTTACGTCAGTATGTCCTTTGTCACATGGTGTTCATTATCATGATAACATTTGAACTCTTTGTAACAATACAGTTTATCAGGAGATGTGTAGAAGTTTTTTAAAAGTGAAATACCGTATTAATTTTCTACTTTATTCAGGTTATATTACATTCTTAATACCCAATGCCTTTTCTCTTTTCATAATAGAAAAGTCTCTGGCTTAGTGTAAAGTTCTGGCTATTATATTTTTCCAATTTAGGAAGTTTATCGTCTCAGACATGTTTTTGTATTTACATCTGAATTTACAATAATATTAATTTTTTTATTAAATATTAACATTCTCAAATAATTTTTAAATCGATATTATAAAAACAAAATTTCAACTAAATTACTTATATTTATAATCATTTTGTTAATAATTATCTTTACTTTGTGTACGTTATTTGAAACCTTTAATTACCTGGATTCTCTTCAAGGATACCAAAATTTCCGCAATAGAATTTATTGCAGTAGAAAAGTGATTTATAATACTAACGAAGATGAAAAAGGACAAAATCATGGTGACAAATACAATTTCGGCATTTAATTGTCCTCCAGTTAAAAAAAATGCAAGATATGTGACAGAAGTAAATAATTTCGAGATGGGATATGACAACATTACTGACATCTCTCTGGTATATAAAAACATTCGTATTTTTTTCATTTCTTTTCTGCAAATATAAACAATTANAAAGAAGATATTTACCTTTCCTGATCCAACAGGACCTGTAACAGTTAATAATTCTCCTGGCTGCACATTCATAGTTATTTCATTTAATGTTGGTTCGGTTCCCTTTTAATACGGTAAAGTTGTATTAGTAATGTGAAATTATGATATAGTTTAAACAACAAAACTGATAAAGTATACAGTCGACACGCGTCTACTTAGTTGGAATACAGTATATATTAATACAGTTGGAGTACAATATATTAATAAATTTAAGTTCACCTATAAACAGAAACATCAATCTGTAAGGCCTCTACTGTTATGTTAGGCTACAGTTTAGTAGGACTTTTTTCACATTTATCTTGCTCCCAGGAAACCTTATTATAAACTAAGCATGTGTTACTGTTCAATTTGTCACTGTTTCTTTATAGATACATATAGCTTTTTAAAAACACCAAGGTCTTTCTCACCGGGTGTTTAGTATTATGTATTGAATGCAAAGGTATTAAGAATGGATGTTTCATATTGTGTACTTTTATTAATATATTTTATTATGTACTTTTTACTAATATGAAGTGAAATTTAAACTATATCTTACTTTTCTCCATGCAGCAGTGACATTGTCCATCCATATTCCAAACTCGGTTAAATTTGATCTTTCCTCTACAATTTTCAAGGCATTTCTGTCTGTTTCTTCAAGGACGAGATAATCCTAAATTAAAATTTGAAAAATTTAGAATTCAAAGTGGTATAGTGTATTTAAAGAAAAGTAAAAGTTAAACATACTTTCAAACGTATTTATAAAACCAACCACGAGAAAACCGTAAGACTGAGAAGGATATTTTCTCGTGGTTGGTTTTTCTGGAGAAGGTTTAAGATTTTTTCCTCTTCCAGTATATATAAGCCTAATAAATAACCATCGACGGTTAATACGGCGCCGACTGGGGACACACTATAGCCCGATTACTTACGGCAATTGTGGGAGTGTATTTGCTAAGAATAGGGTTTCGGTGATGTTTATATCAATGATGAAATGTTTTTTTATGAAAAAGTAGAGATTGAACAATTGAAAAGAGCTTCAAGTCGATCTTGACATTGTGATGCTGTTTCTGTAGCCCCTGACAAAGCCATTCTTACTCGATGTTGCTGAAGTCGGACTTCACAGCCTTCTGGGGGTCTCGGTTGTTCTAATTCCTTTAGATCTAGAAGTTACCTGACCAATTTTACTCTTACGCTTAGGCATTTTTTCCGACGAAATAGCGAGTCATTTTAATTCTTCGTTGATAATTTAGTTCAAAGATGAATTGTACGTACACGTACGTTAATTAGATAAGCGATAACACTTTCTAAACACACATACACACACACATAGCTTACGTCAGTATGTCCTTTGTCACATGGTGTTCATTATCATGATAACATTTGAACTCTTTGTAACAATACAGTTTATCAGGAGATGTGTAGAAGTTTTTTAAAAGTGAAATACCGTATTAATTTTCTACTTTATTCAGGTTATATTACATTCTTAATACCCAATGCCTTTTCTCTTTTCATAATAGAAAAGTCTCTGGCTTAGTGTAAAGTTCTGGCTATTATATTTTTCCAATTTAGGAAGTTTATCGTCTCAGACATGTTTTTGTATTTACATCTGAATTTACAATAATATTAATTTTTTTATTAAATATTAACATTCTCAAATAATTTTTAAATCGATATTATAAAAACAAAATTTCAACTAAATTACTTATATTTATAATCATTTTGTTAATAATTATCTTTACTTTGTGTACGTTATTTGAAACCTTTAATTACCTGGATTCTCTTCAAGGATACCAAAATTTCCGCAATAGAATTTATTGCAGTAGAAAAGTGATTTATAATACTAACGAAGATGAAAAAGGACAAAATCATGGTGACAAATACAATTTCGGCATTTAATTGTCCTCCAGTTAAAAAAAATGCAAGATATGTGACAGAAGTAAATAATTTCGAGATGGGATATGACAACATTACTGACATCTCTCTGGTATATAAAAACATTCGTATTTTTTTCATTTCTTTTCTGCAAATATAAACAATTAATTAATACGGATTGTATAAATATTAAAAGTATTAAATAATTATTAAGAAAATATATGTGTAACTTCAGTACGAACTGTGAAAACCAAACTCGCATGGTACTCTATATTATTTCCACTTTAAAATACTACTGTTTTAAAGGGGTTTCTTTTCATTATATAACAGTACTTCATTCAGAAGACGTTTTTCTTTATACATAGGTTACCATTTTATTTAAATTACAGTTTATACAGGTATTATTGCATACCACTTACATTCTGATTTTTTCAATTAACGCAGAATATGGCAATTCCCAGGTGTACATTTTAATTAATCTCATATCAGCAATCATCTCGTTCAACAGGTTTAATCTTTTATCTCCCAATATTGCTGCTTGTAATCTATTATTATTATATTATGATTTAAATATAAATATTTTCCATTGTAAAAATATATTTTATTTATATTATTTGTTTCTTATATTGCAATTATATAAATTAAAAATAATAATTACCTCAGTTTTGAATATAGTTTACTTAATGCAAGTTGTATAGGAATGTACAGAAATATGATGGAGAATCCTACTAAAATAGTCCATCCATAATATTGCCACATCATTACTATCGCAGTAATGATGAAAAAAGGATTTGAAAGTAAGTATGGAATGCTAACGATTCTCTGTAATAAATAAAAATGTTACATATACATAAAATAACTGATAATTTTATTATACTTAATATATATTTTATAACGTCCCACTTTATCACGGGGCAATATAATCTAGAAGCTCAAGCCCAACTTGCTGATACGAGACAACATTTTATTATGAAGTATAAGTGTCCAGGAAATCATAAACTATATTAAACACATTAAGTAGGCATAAATTACCTTTTTATGGTTGAAAATTTATAATCTGTCACCTACAGAGCCAGTGTTATAAGATTATTTATATCGTGGATTACAGGGTTCTTAATTTTCGACAATTTCAATAAGTTATATATGTTTTCAATGTGACAGACATTGCTTTACTGTACATTTTATATGGACATGCGACTGCATTGTTTTAAATTATTTTTTCTGTAATGCCATACTTTTCTCGCCATAATGGATAAAATCTCATAAGAGTATTAAATTTTCAACAAATAGAAATGACTGTTTTGTGTTACTTATTCTTTTTATAAGAATAACTCTTACACAAGAGGAAAAAAACTGTAAATAAAAATACAGTAAGACCCCGTTTAACGCTGATTCGATATAACGCGGTCTGCTCGAAGCCTAAAAAAAGGCTCAAAATTTACGCTGATTCAAATTATCGCGGCATTTCATTGATTCGTACAAGATACGATTATTTACGAACACGAACCAATTATCGAAAGGTGGCAATTCGTCGTAGCGCTGTACTTTCTTTTAATCTGTGTTTATCCGGTGCAATTTTGAAAAAAATATATATACATATATATATATATATATATATATATGGCAACATGGATGTCATAGGCAACATCGACTTTGCTTCGCAAGAATTAATTGATAAATACATTAACGGAGTGTAAAAGAAGGCACGGCTGGAGGTATCCAGCAATTCTCGACGATAAGAGAGTATAGTTTACCAAATTGTCAACTTAATCAATACAGCAGGACTAGGAGATGTAGACGAGCAGGATATTGAGGAGTTACTGCGGGTTTCTGGTGAGAGTCTTAAGAACGACGACGTTCAAAAACTGGTAGAACAAGGAACTGGAAAATAGAGATTCTGAAAACGAAGATCCCATAGAATTTCTCTACAGATTTCCTTAGTAAAAGTTTGGTAACGATAACCGAAATCTTTGATAAAATTGTAGCAAATGATCAAAATTTCGAAAGGGGTGCAAAAGCAAAACAATGGACTTTGAATACGATATTCTGCTACCGACATTTGCTTAAGGAAAGAAAAAAGCAACAAATGAAACTTCATGACTTTATTGAAAAAGAACAAGAATTTCAGAAAAGTCAGGACCTTCATCACAAAAAATGAACTTTCACATTTTTGTGTGCATATGTTTGTGTTATTTAACATATATTATTATACAAATTAATATAAAAATAACTTAAAATTAAAGTAAAATTTGTTTATTTTTGGTTGCGTGTTTTCCTTTCTCTATTTACTCTGTTAAAATGACCTTATTTAATGCTGTTTTGTTTAGTGCTTTGTCATCTAGGAAT